CATCATCATCATCATCACTATCATCATCAATCATACATCATCATCATCATCATCACTATTATCAACATCACATAAAATATTTCATTTTATACTTAAACAGTGTTCTTCAGTTTGACAACGGAAAACAGAAATCATTCCTTTTGTTTCTTGCAAGTCAACAGGTAAACTGATATATATGAACGTGAAATATTAATGACATGCTCTGTTTGCTTCATCTTGTTTGGTTTTGAAATGTCAACAGACAGTTGCTATCCAGGGCAAAGTTCAGCTAGAGGCCCTTAAGGGTATCGTGGATATTTCAGGATTCAAATTCAAACCAAATTCTCAAGCWAACAAGTTGTTTTCACCGAATTCACAAAGTCTGCTGACAGTAAGAGAATGYAGTGAAGAAAATGGCATTGCTAACAATTTGGACTCTGGTTTAAAAATGAGAAATATCCTTAGTTCTTTAAGTACTAAGATCAAAAAAGGTGCTCTGGCCAGAGCTGATAAAGCATCTAGTGTCCTTTTGTTGGATGGGTTTCAGTCCCTTGAAATGGATTTCATTTGTCAATACAAGGAATATAAAGGCATTTTTACAAAGGTATTGTAAATTAAAGAAAGATTTTTGTTTTGTCAGGCTAACATGTGAACTATGAGATCAAATTAAAAAAAAAATAAAGAAAATAGTTCAGTATATTCTTAAATTTTCAGGAGTTACATCAAGGAGAGGATTGTACAACCGAGTCTGAAAAACTTATTTGCAAAATGACATCTCCATATGGCTTTACACTGGTATGTCAAATCCATCTTAATGCCGACATGGTGCAGCTACCTTGCACTCCAATGAATATTGTATTCTATAGTATAGCTGCAATGCTGTAGTGTATAATATATGATAATTTTCTGTTGTTTATAATTATTTCAATCCCAGCTAGAAGCAGATGATAGATATTCAATATATAAACAGCCAAYGGWGTGGAATGACATAATTRCYGATATCRCAGAGAGTGTAACAGAAACCAATAATGGTAAGATRTATGTTCTGAAAATTTATCCAATGGACAAGTGCATCTATAATGCTTGTTCTTATTTGTGCATTTTCTTATTTGAATTGGGTATGTATTGAAATTGTTAATTTTCAGGGGATGAAAAATTCCCAGCTATTCTTATTTGTGGTGGTAAAGGGGTTGGCAAGTCAACCTTTGCAAGAACTGTCATCAACAGCCTACTTAACAGGTATGGTAATTCTTTGACAAGGCATTGTACAGAGTTAACAATTTTCATACCAAAAGCTCTCTSTTCTTGTAACAAAGTTAATGTTTTATTTACAGTTGTAGAGAAGTCTGCTATCTGGAATGTGATGTTGGACAGACAGAATTGACTCCACCAGCAATACTTTCCCTGRATTGTATCTCAAAGCCTCTTTTAGGTGAGAGAAACATGACAATAAYGAAGCCCATCTTTATGGTTTTAGTTATTTTATTAAAAATCTCAATTTTTTTTATATGATATCAGGGCCACCATTTACACACTTACAATGGCCAAAAAGGTATATGAAATCTTGTGAAGAATAAATAAGATATACTATTGCATGATATATTACAGCCAAAAAATATGAGAATTGTCTAAATATCTAAATATCATAATATCCAAATCCATATATTGTCCAGAACACGCGAGTTTGCTAGAATAATTCATCGTTGACATCGAGAAAATGTTCAGAACTACGGATAAGTCTGTCGCCAAAAAAAAATAAACTACAAAGACAAGGGACTAAGGGTATCACGCGGGATTACCCATCATGCACTCGATATTATGATATTTAGATATTTCAACAATTCTCATAATTTTTGCAAAAGGCTGTAACACTAAAGTTATTACTCAATATTCATATAACCACTAATCAATCAATCAATAAATCAATCCATCCATCCATCAATCAATCCATCAATCAATCCATCAATCAATCCATCAATCAATCCATCAATCCATCAATCCATCAATCAATCCATCAATCCATCAATCAATCCATCAATCAATCAATCAATCAATCAATCAGACAATCAACCAAATAATCAATCAGTTAATGAGACATTCAATCAGTCAACAATATCCTATAAAGTACTACAGTAAACACGTTCTTACCTGCTGATGTTCTTTACAGAGCATGTTTCTATGGCGATGTGTCACCTAAAGACAATCCAGACCTGTACATCAACTCCATTTCCAGTCTCTATAATCATTATAAGAAATATTTGACTTCAAGGCCCCTTGTGATCAATACTCAAGGGTGGGTAAAAGGTAACTAAGCTTATATTATTAATTGTAAGTCTATGCAACAAATTAGATGATATTTTTATTAAGACATTTTTTTGTTGTAGGATTTGGTATTCCTTTGTTGATGGATGTGATACGGATTACCCRACCCACTTGTATTGTTCAAATAAATTCCAATCAAGCTACCAAAAACCTACCAACTATTACCAGAGAATTCCTGGACTTATCACCTGGTTGGGTGTGGCCTGTTGATGGCCAGGAGTTACAGCAACATCCTGGGAATCTTATAAATAGTCTGAAGTGAGTTAGATTGTTAACTAATGACAAAAATTGCTAAACTTATTTTAGAAAAGTGAGAAAGATATTATTCCTGGCTCGATATTTCTAGTGTTTTGATGTTGTTGCAACAAGTCGTCACAAAAATATCACGGCACATGAATTTTGAGCAGTACATTAATTAATAAAAAAAATAGCGAAACAAAAACAAAAATAATCAAAAAAACCTATTCAAATTGTCATTGCAGGGAAAATGGCAAACAAAAAGATGTTGATATATCTGATATGCACCACAAATCAYATYCAACAATCTACCAGATTAATGCTTGGACAGATAATGACCAGAAMTCAAGGTAGAAGATCTYCTTCTATGAAGGTTTACAGGTTTTGGCCAGATRATCAAAAMAGTTATTTYCTGAYATAAAATAGTTATTTGTCAATCACATCTTCTTGGCTAATATCAAAATTGTGTTTTACAGCTCAACTCTTCGTCCAGCAGACTACAGGGCAATGAGTACATTAGCTTACTTAAGTAATGCCTTGCAATCCTTACAAGTAGACAGCTTACTGCATTGTAAGCCATAYAAAGTGCCTTGGAGCAAGGTTGCYGTACATGTCAATCATAGCATGGTAATGGCACATTAATATTGATTAATATATAATCAATAAATGTATTGGGGACCAATGTCCTG